AATTCTCTGCGACGAATGTCATCGTTATGTGCACCTAAAATGTGCCAATAAAAAATGAAGAAAAAAATAAAACACTGTTCCTAGCTGCCGCACCCACGTGTGGTCCGTGGCACTGCCGGGGCGACACAGCTGCAGAACGCATCCACCACTGCGGCGACGTAACGGGGAAGGCGCCAGCACTGCCGCGTCCCCCGGGCTCCCGCGCTCCCTGCTCCGCACAGTGCGGGGGGGGCCTGGCAGGCTGCAGGCGCTTGACACACGCCTCACAGTGCCGGAGCAACGGCATCACCACGCACACCTCCACCCTCTTACCAGACAGGCGCCCCAGCTCTCCCCTCGCCAGCCCGTGACCGCGGTTTAACACCAGCTTCACTGCGCTTCTGAAGAACGGGCGGAAGATCCGCTGAACAGTGAGGGCCGGCGCTGTGCAGTCGGACCTTCCTGTCTGGCCCCGAGCCCTTCCTCCCACTCACACACCGGACTCAACTTCAATGAGAAATAACACAGAACTCACTCACTTTTCAACATGTTCTTCTGATTTACAAGGCATTAACACAACATTTAAGCAATCTGTTATAGAAATACCAATCTGTGAGCTCTATCAGATGCATTCACATCTTGACAAATGCAAGAAGAAAAAGTTCTAACACCTTCCGGCCCACTGTGACATCGGGTTAAGGACCTTTTCCAGCTGGCCTGCCTCCCTGCTCGACACTACAGCCCTCTGTACCCTGGGCTGAGGGGAGCAAATCCTCACATGCCCCAGGGTCACCACTTCCACCTGGGCCCACAGCGTCCCCAGCCCCTGCCTGGCTGCCTCCCTGCCGCAGGGCACAGCCAGCCTGGACCCGGCTCCGGCTGTCTCCAGCTCCAAGCAGGCTGATCCTCTAATTACTCAGAGTCCGCTCTTCTCTCAATTACCATAATGCCCATGATTTGCTTTAATGACATCTAGCTTGTAGTGGTTCCCATTAGGGATATTTCAGTACTTTCGGCTTTTTATAAGCTCTTGAAGACAAGCACCATCCCTAATTCATATTTAAATCCCCTAATTTAACATTGCTGTGCTGAACCAGCAGGTAGGTACTCAAGATACTTCAAGAACAGAACTGAGAAACCAAGAGACACCCAGTGACGCTGCAAAGCACGCAGACACGGCTCATCTCCAAGCAAAGCTGAGAAGTCACCGGACACTGGCCATCCAAGAGCGGGCAGCTGCTGGCGGCGGCCGTCAACCCAGCCAACACCAGACTTACGTGGGGAGACTTTTAAATCCAGATGCCCAGGCTCCACCCCAGCCCAAGCCCAACTACGCAGCAGGATCTACACGAGGGGACTCAGGCTCCTAATAATAATGTCCCGTACACCAGAAACGTGCCAAGAGAGCAGATCTGAAGTGCTCTTAATCCGTATGTGCAGCATGCACACACACCTCTCAATGCCTGCAGGTAACTACGTGAGGTGAAGGTCTGACTGGTGAAGAACCCCCAAAGCTAGAATCATCACGCTGCATATCTGGAATATACCCAACTGTACAGGAGCGCTGAGGGGCGCTCTAACCTCTCAGGGCCGCCGTGTGTTGTGACCTACTCTCAACCCTCGACTACCAGGTCCCAAACAGGGCTGTGGGGCGCAGACAGCACACAGGGAGCTGCGGTACGGAACCAGCACCCTTGTCCAGGGAAAGGACATCTCACCTTGCCGGGTACCTGTGCCCAGCAGATGTACTGTCTGACCTGTTAAAATCTGGGTCTCTCTGGGCCTGCACCATGTAGTCCTCTCTGAATCACACAACACTTGTCAGCGTGGTGGACGCCTGGGCCGCTCCCAACAGGGAGAAAGCAACATCGAGGCTGCGGAGGTGAACTCCACCACCCGAAGACAAGGACTGCGCGGCTGTCCCGGGAAGCCACGTGCAGGAGCTGCAGCGGTATCCATGGGGCACCTTCTAACCAAAACAGGGCTCTAGAATCAGTTTCACAGAAACCTACACATCAGGAATCTGCATCACCAACAGAAGCTGCAGTGGAAGGGCGTGTTTCGTGGTAGCTCAGGTGCACACACTCATGAGGAGGAGCTGGACGGGGGCACCCTGCACAGCAGCATCCCTGATGGTGATGTTTCACGGCTCCAGGACACCGGCTCTGCGCACGCGCCCCCGCATCCATCTCTCCTACCGTCACGCCTGAGCCTGCCTATCCGAGGTCCTGTTCCCACCCGGGCCAGCCAAGTGATCAGAAGCTGCTGGCCTGCACAGCTCCTGACGCCCAGGGTCATTAAACACAAGGATGGTCAGCGGCCAACATCTTTTTTTCTCTTCCTGGCACACCCAGCAGGAAGTGCTCTGAAGGACACTTGTAACGAATTAGCACTCCACCGCTAGCACAAGGATCTGGCCTCTATGCACTGTCTCTGACGCCCCCAGCACTCCTAGCCAGGTGACTGGGAGAAGTGCATCGAAGGGAGGGACAGAGCAGAAGCAAGGACTAGCTGCGTACAGCTGTGGAGGCGGCTACAGGACAGGGAGCGGACGTGTAGACAGCAGGCGGAAAGTGAAGGGAGATCTCCGCGGAGTGGTGAGCGAGGAGACGCTCAGGTCAAGGTAACCTTACAGAAACATCCCGTGCAAAGGCAGCCCCACCCCGAGACCCAAAACTCTCCTCCTCCTCTGCACAAGCCAAGCTCCCTCCCCATTCTCGTCCCTCTCCTCTCCAAGGAGCTTTCCCGCTTTCCCGGGCCTGACATCCAACGTGACCCTCGCCGTGGCCCCACCTCCGACAGTGAGTGTATGTGGGCAGGCGCTCTCACAGCGAGCACGCGGTTTTCTCCCATTCCCTTCCGTGCCTCACTCACTCCGGAGTCCAGGGCTGGCCCACTGAGCGGTGTGACGGGGTAAGGGCACCACAGTGGAAGCCTGAGGCAGAAAGGGGCCGCTTCAGAGGACGTCAGACAAGGAGCACCGGGAAAGCAGGCAGCCTCACCTCTGCTGAGCCACGCACCACGCTGGCTTACCCACCTACCTCTGCAAAGCACCAGGCGCAGAACTGCTCCCACGACGAAAGGCGGAATCAGGGCCCAAACAAGGCTCTCAGCCCGGCCGCTTCAGCTCGGCGGACGCCTGGAGTTCTCCCGCTCTCCCTTCTGTGTGCGTGATATATTTCGAGTTCTCTTTTCTTCCCAATCCCCTCTCCTTCCTTTAACCCTTCTTCCCCTCCCTATTTTTACAAAGCTTTGTTTCCATTTTTTCCTATATTTAAAATCTTTTTTTCACCCGTAAAATAAGGGCTCATGCTGCAGTCCAAGGCCCCCCCACTTCACGCTCTGCACAGCCCCCGGGGACAAGAGAACGGCCCTGACAATGAGAAGGTCCCCGCCACCGAAGAGCTGCAACCCCCCACGATAAAACCCTTCGACAGTGTGCGCGCGGCTCCTGCTCTCACTGCCAAGGCAACGCCGCCCAGGTCAAGCGAGGCCGAGGGCACAGGGCCAGAAGACGCGCCTGGACGGCACCTCCGTGCCTAGTGCCTTTCTTGGGGCCTTTCACTGCAGGACGCCAGTGCCAGACAGGGGCATGAGACAGAGAACTATCTTCACGAAGAGACTTGTCTATATTGGAAAAAGCTTCCAATCATACAAATGTTAACTATAAAATGTCAAATACTTTCAAAACACAAAAAAGAAAAAGTTACCCATCATCCTTCCCCCAAAAGCTCTTTTAAGGGCCATACAAAAAAAGTAAACTTCATTTTATATACAATATTGAACGTAAACTTTATAAGTTGCTTTTTTGCTCAATCTTATATATTACATCCAACTTTTCATTTGAATTTACACTGATTTGCCTCATTGCGATGGTTTGTGTCTGGGTGTGCCCCCCGAAGCCTCATGCAGTCATGGGGCTTTCAGAGGCGCTGGACCTACAGCGTGCGGTGCTGGGTGTACGACTAACAACTCAGCCCGCTGACCGGTGTGCATGGCTGCGGGTGTGGGTAATGGGAAAGACCTCCCCGGGGTGACGCTACCTGAAGGGCCGGTAGTCCGGACGGAACGCAATGGACAGAGAGGGCTGCTGTGCTCACTGCCTGTTGCTTGCTACCTCGCTGCCTCCTGCCCACCAGGAACTGTTTCTCCTCTGCGATGCCCTCTGCCATGTGCCACCTGCCTTGAAGCCAGCCCACTATGGACTGACACCTCTACAGACTGTGCGCCGAATCAGACCTTTCCTCCTTTAACTTCAGGTGTCAGGCACTTCGCCTCAGCAATGGGGAAAGTAACTCAGGCGCCCTTCTTAAAGGTTAAGTCGTAGTCACCGTGGAGACGAAACAAAATTTACTGCTCTTCTCTTCCCAGCCCAAGTCTCTGCTCTGTAAAACTCCACTGAGTCTGCACACGGCCAGAAGCCCTAGGCTCGGAGCCCACCGCTCAGTGCCCTCAAGCCAGGACAGACTGCAGGCAAAGCCTCCACCTCCTGCTCCCCACATCTGCCCAGCAGTGAGGGTGCCTCTCATCCACTGATTATCTGGACTGGACATTTCTTACTCCAAGTTTCAGAATTCCAGACAATCAAGGAACGGTTTAGAAAATACGACACGAGCAGATTCTATTTGGTAGTCCCCTTTGGGCTCTGGTACCCACTGTCCATCCGCCAGCAGTGACCGCAAATGTACCTGAAACAAGACCCTGTGCCTCAGAAAGCGGGGGCTCAGAGGCCGTGTTCAACGCTCAGTGAGTGTGTGTGGTTAGGACCACCCAGCTCAGACACGGGGGCCATGCAAAAGAGAGACATTATCGTGTACAAACTCCATTCTCCCAGTCGGGGTCGCCTCTCCAAACACATGAGTCATTCTGCTCCAAGTGAAACCTTCTAAACAGCACCGCCGGCAACAACCCGCAGAGCAGGCGAAGCGGGACGTCTGCGCACCAATGGGAATAACCCACCCTAAGGACTGGAGGCCTCTAACGGGAATGCAGCCAGAACGCCCCGCCCAAGCAGCTCGTACCTTATACAGCGGGCGACGGACATCAATGGGACAGCTCTGGATCACTTCATCGACCACGTCCGAGATGGACTCCATGAAGTCTGGATTGGCAAACTAGATTGTACATAAATACAAAAGGAACATTACACATTTCCCTAAACAGCACACAGCAAAAACTCTCTAAGAAGCAATTCTAACAAATAGACAACTGACTGTAACTATTAGGAGACTACAACTATTAACAAGTAGACAACTGTAACTATTAACTGTAACTGGAATGAGGGCGCGTAAGAGGCTGCAACGTGACAATGAGCCACATGCACAGAGTGATGGTCATGAGTCTCCCCAGAGAGGAAATGTGTGGCGTTAGTGGAAAGGAAAAAGCGTGTGCGTAAGTGCAAGACACGCAGCGAGAAACACACAAAGACGAGACCCGTGAATACTAACAGTATGAAATGCACGAAAAATCAGCCAGATGGGGTGCCAGCGTCCGTTCATGCCCACTGGGTGGCAGCAGCGCCCCACGCACACTGCACGCCCACACACCCCAGGGAAACGCCTCACCTCCGGGTGGAAGAATATCTCAGGTCCCAGGAACCTTTCGTACCCAACATCTATAATGAACTTCTTCTGGTTGGTCGCGTTGGTGCCTGTGTACTGCTTGATCCACTTCCGGGGATCCACATCGTACTTAGCAAACTCCTTGACAATGTCTGGGCAAATGTAACAGTATCTCTCCTGCATGTGCACACAAAGACGTCACCAGGCATTAACAGCTACCCAGAGCCTCTGCCCTCTGACACACACATAGAAACCCCATGCATCAGACACACCCAGAAATCTGTCCACACAACCGGATGCACATGTGGCTGTGGATCACGCCCTCGTCCATCAACTTCCACCTGAGACGGGACAACCCTGGGACTCTGGACAGGGGAGCCTGCTTTCTCCGGCAGCTCGGCGATTAATCTCAGCCTCAGGCTCAATTCTTGTTGCCACACTGTCTGAAATGTCCAGTCCTCCCTCGGGCTCCCTGCCAGGCCCTCCACAGCTGCGCACTAGGATCTGCCTCTGGACCAGCAGGCCACACTCAGCCCAGTCGACTGAGTGCGCTACACGTCCACAGCCATGTGCTAGGGAAGAGATCGCCTGGAACGGCCTCTTCTACTTCTCCATGCCGGGAACGGACCTGGTGACACGTATTCTCACGTACTCGAGCGACACACTCCCAGTGTCTCGACTCCTGGCATGCACAAGTGAATGAGCACTCAAATCCTTGTCAGGTGACACTGAGATTGGGATGACAGACAAGCTCAGTGCTGAACAAACAGCAGGCGCGCTGCAGAGTGCGTGCCACAGAGCACAGGGAGCGAGGTCAGGCAGTGGGGTCAGAGTCACTAGGGTATGGCTACCCAGGAGACTGCAAAGGGTTCCCACCCTGACTCGCAGCACCAGGCAGAGGTGCGATGTGCACCCTGAGCACCGGGTCACCCTGGTGTCCTTGGGACCCCTGTGCCGGCCACCTTTGCAGAGCCAACTCGGCACGGCTGCAGGGGACACCTGATACCGGCTTCTGAAAGCAAGAGCCAGGCAGGCCAGCACCAGCACCCAGGGGATGCTAATTACCCCCCATTTTAGCAGGAATGGCACTCAAGGGTCTCACAAGGAAGTGGTTTTCATAACACTAACTACGAAGTTTCTGAAACCTCTGGAGAGGCCACCTTCCAGACAGCTCTGACACATGCTGCTAGACTGGACGACTGCAGGGCGAAGACTGGAGGTAGCCCGAGCTCCTTGATGACACCGTGGTCACGGCTGAACACAATCACGCAGTGCTCGGGAGCCCTGGGCAGCGCCCGCTGGCTTCTCCTCTGAGCCTGCGGTGTGGGACTCTGCCCTAAAGCTGGGTCCAGAGCAGCAGCACCAGTCAGGAGCCCCCATGTTCGGGCCGCAAGGACAGTGCGTTCCTGTACACATACCTCGGGCCCACTGGTGCCGACAGGGGCTCTGGGCCACCACACAAGGCAGGACAACAGACCGCTCCGCCAGGCCCGCTCCCTTCACAGCACGCGTGCGACGAGACTAGCAGGGAGCCCGCGGCAGGGCAGGGCCGCTGTCATGGGGACAACGCGACTCCCCGGCCGCTCCCAGGCCCCAGCACACGGTCAAACCCGTGTGTGTGTGCTAGGACTCCAGGGTCAGCGCAGGGCCCAGCGAGCCAGGGGGTGGAGCAGCAGCCCAGCAGGGGCCTGGGAAAGCCCCCTCACAGTGGTGCTCAGCTCGGGGGTTTTAACTCGGATTCCCAGAGTGGCCTGGGCATCAGCAGCAGGACTTCAATTCTGATTCACAATTATAACTGATGGGGGTGCTGAGTCAAACTTCCAAATTGTACTTCCATTGAAGAAAGGCAAGAAAGGGAGGAAAAAGGAAATTTGGGAGTATTTTAGTTTTTAAGAAAAAGCTTGAAGGGCCGGGATGTAGCTCAGGGGCACAGCACCTCCTGGCAAGCACGAGGTCCTGAGTTCGATTCCCGGTACCAACAAAAAACAAACTTGTGCTCCCTTGCAAGCTCCCCCACCAAGGGAGGGACTAATCCCACATGCCCAGGGCTTCGCAGGTTCAGCACGGAGTTTCTGTCCTTGCGAACTCCCATTCCAAGGAAGCCAGACAGGGGCCTGCCCCACCTCTACCCTCCTTCCTACAGATGCCTCTGTCTTCATCAGAGTCAGGGAGAGCTGCAGACCATCCCGGGGTCTGCTCTGGTCCACCCAGTCTTAGCTGCAGCTGCTCAGACGGGAGGGGGCGTGAGACTCGTCACCCCGGCTCCTCACAGCTCAAACACGAGGTCCTGGGGAAAGGAGACACCCCAGGCCTCCTGCCACAGCCCACGTGAAATCCTCCCTCTCCACCTAGCTTTGGGTCACTAGCCATCCCTTCCAATTTGATCTTTTCTAAAATTTTGGAAAAATGCCTTTAAAAGGGCATACGACACGTCATGTATGGAGAAATACACACTAATGCATCTGGCCGCTTCTCTTCCGGTCCACAGGCTGATTTACAAACCTTCCTGCAGCCTTCCCGGCACAAATGAACTCTGGTAATGACTTTGGGCCCTGGAAAGGCACTGCTGTGAACCCGTGGGGCGCACGCTCGCACAGACTCCCCGGGTCCCCCAGCTGCTGTGACCTGTGCCTCCTCAGCCCGAGAGGCAGAGCCAGAGTCAGGGAGGTGATGTCAGCAGGTGAAAGTTCCATGAACTGGGCGCCAACTAACCCGCGCTCTACCACAGGCTGCTCTAGTTCACAGCCAGAGCCTCAAGACAGGGGGTGCCGGACTGAGGCTGAGCCCCGACCCTCAGCCCACTGAGCTCACGGGTGCACAGGTCAGGGGCCACACTCGCGGGAGGGGAGAGGACGGCAGGCAGGAGCGGGTAGGATGCACCCAGGGAAGCATAGACACCACTTCTCTCTCACCCCCAAACCGGCCGGTTTCCCGTCTGTTTTTACCTTAATGGCTTTTGCGGTCTCCAGTGACTGCTCAGGAGGGATTCCCACCTCCCTCTCCCTTAGCAGCTGTTGAATGAAATACGTAATATCTCTACCTGCAATCGGGATGTGTTTGATGCAGCTTCCAATTACGTAACCTTCTGCCTGGGGAAGAAAGGAAGCCAAAGAGCTGGTGAGGGATGCCCCGGTCCAGGCCCACTGTCTGCCTCTACCCCCCCACCCGCCCTGCAAGAACGGGGCGCCAGTTCTGCGTAAGTGACTGCACATGCAGTTCCCTAACACTTAAAACCCGAAATTACCCCAGAAGACTGAGACTCCATCAACAGCCAAAACGGTGCTGCCATCAGAAATGCAGGGGGAGGCCTCATAGCACAGGGTGGTGCATTTCCAAAAGGCAATGCCATCTACGGAACCGCTAACCCAGCTATAAAACTACTCCCATGTACAAGCCAGCAATGTGGTCAAGTCCACGGCCTGCACTTCCAGCAGCGTGGATTCAAATCCTGCTCCAAGTTTACTGGCTGCGTGCTCCCAGACAAGGGGAACAGCCTCAGCCCCGGCACCCGCACCCAGAGTACAGGGCAGGCAACACCCCGCGGCATCTGCAGCACAGGTTAAACCAACTCTGCCTGCTCAGCACACAGCACGACTTCACAGCACTGCGATGCCACCCGTACTCGACAGACGGATCCACTCATCACCAGGAGAACGCGTCTGCACCACGTGAGCAACGGCTCGGCTCAGAAGCTGGGACGCCGCAGGGTGGGTGGGCGGGGACACTGATGGCTGGGGGACAGTGCTGTTCCCCACATCGTCAGACAGAGGCCCCTCAGGTGTCACAGCGCAGCACTCTGAGCCATGACACCTCAGAGACACACCAGGGACACGTGACTGTGCCGCGCACACTGGCTGCCGCCACGTTGCTGTGGATTCTCCACACTGCTGGCTTGTACGTGTGAGCAGTTTTGCAGCACCGGAGAAGCTCCCTCCTGACTGCCCCAAGTCACCGCCTGGCAGGTCACCATCCCGGCACGTCCAACCTGTGCCCACAGACAGGGACACACCTGGCCTGCCTGGACTGCGCTGAGGGAAGAGGAGCTGTCTCCGGCCACACAGAAAATACAGAGCATGGTTCATGTATACAACTAACAGAATTTCTCTTTGTCAAGTTTTTATTATAACACAGGTATGTCCAACCACAGGTCCAGACTGGACATGCCTGTAAGCCTTTCCATTACGGGGATTTTGACCTTGAAGGCATTAATCACAGCAGTAAAAAATTGGGGAAGCTTTCCCTCAAACTGCTAAATGAAACGAAACAGTGACTGCCTTTTCAATTAAAGCAAATAGATTTTTTAATGCTAATTTGCATTTTTAAAAGGAGATAACACACAGAACATGCAAAAAGCACACTTGTAAAATCCATACCTAACTAAGCAATCATGCTTACTGAGGAGGCGATCAGGAATGACCAGATCAGAAATGTGAGTCTCTCCTCCCACTGGATAACCAGCTGAGTCTCAAGAAAATAAATTTTAAATAATTCATCTACAATCCATTGGACCAAATGACTACTACAAAGGTCTCCTAAAACCTGAGTTAAAAGTCACTTCTGCAATATTTAAAATAAAACCGGAAAGTGATACTATGGAGCCTTCCGCAAGTCAAAATGCATACTCTCCTTCGTGGCGCTAAAACGGACTGAAAATCAAAGAGCAGGTCCCCACAGCAGGAGCGGACCGAGCCAGCCCCGCTGCAGAGACGTCCAATGGGCACAGCGCACACCCACAGCTCCCGCGCAGCTCAGAACTATAAACCGGGAGGCACGGTGCGGTTGAGGCTACACCCACCAGGCATCAAACAGAGGCCCAGGAAACCCCAGCAGCCACGGCCTGATGACTGCAGGAATGCACGGCGGTAACTGTAAAACTGCCAGAGCCATGGACACTGGGCACCTTTTGTACTTTCTCCCACACCTGATGTCCCGGCTTGTGTCTAGACGTCCCCCGAAAGCCTCGCGCACTCACACGTGGGGCTTTCCTCAGAGCCGGCTGACCCGGGGTGTGTGATGCTGGGACTAACGATGCGGATGACGAGGCCCCACCCTGGGTGTGGGTGATGCCGATCAAGACTTCCAGCCTGGACGACTATAAAGGGACGGAAAGAAGGCAGGCTCCCTGCTCCTGCTCGATGCCTTCCACCTGCCATGCCATGGGCAGTTTCTCTCTGCAAAGCCCCTCTGTCATGCTGCCCTGGGTTAGAACTGCTCTGCACTGAAACCCCTGCAAACTGTGAGCTAAATAAACCTTTCCTCCTTTAACTTTGGGTGGTGGGTATTTTGTCTCAGCAATGACAGAGCTAAGACACCGGGGTCTTTAAAACTCCCGTTACTGTCACTAAATACCACTTTTTAAATGATATTTTTAATTACAGAAGGCACTGGGGTTTTCTCCCTCTCCCCTTACCTCAAAGCAGGCGCGAAGTCTCAGAGTGAGTATGAACTAGCGCGCTTACCACTGGGATAACGTGGGTGACTCCGTCCCCGCTGTCGATGACTATCCCCGTGAGCGTGCGCTCGCCAACTTGTCGGGAGGTCCAGGAGGCTGCCAGCGCCAGCACTGCCTGGGAGGAGACAGGGGTACCGGGGTACAGGGAAGGCGCTCCGAAACCGCTGCCTGCCTGACCCTCCACCTCACTTCAAAATTTCAATTCCAACATGGACATCCGACAGGCAAAGTTCATGTATTTACACTCTGCAAGGCAGGTTTTCACTTAAAAAAAAGATATCTAAAGCTTTACAAAGAAAGACCAGTGAGAAACTCATTATATAACAGAACACTGTGGGCCAGGGATATAGCTCAGTGGCTCAAGCGCCTGCTTGGCAAGCACAAGGTCCTGAGTTCGATTTCCGGTACAAAAGAAAGACCATTCTGATCCCTTTTCCTCTGATTCTGTGCGGAGCCGCAGCCTGGCTGCAGTACGAACCCGCATGTGTCTCACACACGGCTGGGCCGCCCACCAGCAGTAGGACAGCGGTTCTCGACTCTAGTGCCCAACCTGGGGCCATTCTGCTGGCCGGGTAGCGTCCGGCCACACCTGGTGCCGCCTTCCACTGTCACACAGTCAGCAGAGAGGGGGCTGCTGCTGGTCCAGGGGGCAGAGGCCAGCCCTGCTGCTAAGCACCCTGTGACAATGAAGACGTCCCTACGATGTGTCCAGTCCAAAGCACGGGGCAGGAAAACACTGAGCTTAAAATCCCTACTTCAGGAAAAAATAAGCTGGGCATGGGGGCACACGCCTGCAATCCCAGCATTCAGGAGGCTGAGGCAGGAGGACTGCTATGAGTTCAAGACCAGCATAAAATACACAGAGAGACCGTGTCTCAGAAAAAAAGAACTCTCGAGGTAAGCACTGAACACCTTGAGAGCCATCACCCCAGTGTGCTGTGAAATGATTCCTCATTCCACACAACAAAACACCTTGGGGGAGAAGACACATGGTTAGGTAAACGCGGGAGTGCTAGAACAGGTTTCTTCAACACAAGGATTCCCGGTGCCTTCACTGTACTACAGGCACTGCGAGTCGAGGAGGAAACGCTGCCATGAGCCGCCTCCTCTCCACTTTTTAGGGTGGGACGTGGGTGTGCTCTAGAGCCTGAGCCCAGGGCCTAGCACTGAGCTACAGCTCCAACCCATTTTACTCAGAAGGGATCTCCCTAATTTGGTCACGTTGGCCTCAAACTCACAACCTTCTTGCCTCAGCCTCCTGAATAGCTAAGATTATACACACGTACCATCACACATGGCTCTAAATGCGTTTTTGTGTGGAACTCCTCCTTTTTACCGAAGGAGACTTAATATTAGGCAGAAAATACTGAGACACACCCATCTCATTTATTCCCCCAAATTTGAGTGAATTCCTTTGTAAAAGGTGGCAGACATATAACCACCGAGAGCAACAAAAACACTTAACCTCACTCCAAGAACAAAAGCTTTAAACGAGTTCTATAAGCTCCTGGAAATTTAGGGTCTCCTGAAAGCCAGAGAGGGCTGAGGATACAGCTCAGTGGCACAGCGCCTGCCTGGTAAGCACAAGGTCCTGAATTCAATTTCCGGTACCCCCACCCTGCAAAAAGCCAGGGAGTAACTGAGACCGACAGGAGCCCACACAAATACAGAACCTTCCAACAGTGTCCACTCTTTTTCCACAGGTGGTGTTTATCTTTTTCTTCCTGACTGGAAGTAAGTGAGAGAGCTGGGCTCAATGACACACACTTGAAACCCTAATTACTGGAGAAGCAGAAGCAGGAGGATTACAAGTTCCGGACCCGCATGGGTAACAGACCAACATTCCATTTACCAAAAAAATAAATAAACAAATAAAAGAGAACAGCATCAACACTTCTGTCTTGGCGCCCTCCAAAAACACACTAGACTGTGCAGGGAAAAAGACAGGGCCAGACTCTACGACAAGGACAGAGTTGTTAAAGCTATGGAGAGCCAGGCACGGGGTACACGCCTGTGAGCTCAGCACTCGGAAGGCGGACGCAGGAGCATCGTAGGCACGTTCTCCACGGCATTTCAGTTCAGACCTCAATGCTGGGTGCGCACGTGGGTGTGCGAAAGGAGTGAAAAGGAAGAACACACAGCACAGCCTTCAGTCTTACCCCAGAGGACCTCTGGAATCACCACTTCTACCACTGCCAGACAATAATTGGTGAGTCACAAAAATAACTGTTTTTACCTGGACTGCGATGTAGAGTCCTGGCACGTTAAATGATTCGAACATGATTTCTGCGAGGTATTCTCTATTTTCTGGGGTGTTCAGGGGAGGCTCTGTCTGTAAGAAAACATTCATTATATTCAGTGCTCACCCAAGTCTCACACAGTTACATCAGAATTACGAAGAGGCCAACCAAAGAGCACGTCAGCTAGCACCTGACCCAGCTCCCTAGTCTTACAGACACATTACAGTGACAGCGACTAACTGAAAAATCCGCTACGGGTCTCAAAGCTTTAAGATGGCAAAATGAAGACCTCTTGAAAGGCTTCCGTTCTCACATCGCACCCAGACAAGAGCAAGTTACAGGAGACAGACTCTGTCTTGGACAACAACAGTACTCACCACTATGTACCTCATAAGGTGCTGCCTATCAGTGTGAGGAATGGACTTAGTAACAGTACCTACTTGAGAAGAAATAAGTAACTCAATACTTGTAAATACACAGAAAGGAGAGGAATGCTGAAAAATACTCGAACAATATCAGCTGTACCTGCCAGTAATGTATCTCATATCAGAATAACATACAGTAATTAAAGATTCCTAATGTTGCTACTCACCTTAAATAGAAATCCAAGCACCGAAATGACACGCTGATTTCTTACACAGAGCATTTAACCTGAGTAGTGAGAAGACTTACAAAGGGATGGAAAGTGCTAAGTGCGCTCTGGAAATATTCCTTTCCACCAGCCAAGTGCTGCCTACCTGATCTGAAGGCAAGAGCAGAACCCAGAGGAAGACACACAGCAGAACCGGGGTCACCCGGCTCCCGCACTCCTGAGTTCAGTTCAGGGTCAAATAATGACTGAAACAAATCCCAGCTGGGTGAAAGCTAAACACAACTGTCAAAGATAAGATGTCTCACTACACAAAAATGCATAATGTCTCAAAAGAAGAAACAAAAAGGCCAAAAATTAGTTCAGATAAGAATTCTGGTGCAAATACAACAAATAAAAGTTTCCTGTTCTAATCACTTGAAAAGACTGATAGAATGCACAAGTAATATCTACACACAGTGGAATACTGCGCAGCCTTTAAAAGGTAAGTCAAGACTTCTGGGAAGACGGCAGAGTGGAGAACAGCAGAGAAACAGCCTCTCTAGATGGGATGTCCAGGCCCTGGAATGCAGCAACGTGTAGAGGAGGAGGGAGGGGAGTCCCCAAAACCCACCACGGATCGGCAGCAAGAACTGAAGTCCACAGGGAGAGCAAAGACAGACTTCAACAAAGAACAAGGAGCGGGCGAGCAGGGCTTCCTCCGAGCCGGACGCACTGCAAGGGAAGGGCAGCCCAGACCTGCAGATGCACAGTGCTACTGGAAACCCCACAGGCCTCCACAGAGGCGCAGAGGACCACAGCGGGGCACACGGCAGACTGCAGGGGCCAGTGAGTTATTCCCACCCAGACAAACTCCGGGAGAGGGCACTGGCCAGCACCCACCCGAAGAAGAGCCACCGCTCAGAACTCAGAACTACCGTCGGCCCCACCTGGCAGCTCCCAGTGTCAGCGCCGGGGGAGTGAGCTCAGATCAGCAGGAGGTCAAGGGGCTGAGTTCAAGCCGGCAGGAGGCACACGGAGGACGGCAGGCTGGACAAACTGAGTTCTAGCCTCACAGCCAGAAACCAGCCTGAACCTCAGCAGAATTAAAGGCGCCGGCTTGCTAGGACTGTCCACTACCCCACCGTAAATCCATGGCCGGCTTTCTGGGATTGTCCACTACCCCACCGTAAATCCATGGCCGGCTTTCTGGGATTAATCAACACGGATCTAGACCCTGTCTACCCAATCTGTCTATCAGTGACAGCAGAGACACACCCAGAAATAGACACTTTTTCTTTCTATTCTTCTTACTGTTTTTTTCACCCATTTTTCTTGATTGATTGTTCTTGTTTCTTTACGAGTGTGAACATTTTTCCTAGATTTTTCTTTGTTGCTGTTCTGTTCTTGTTTTTATCTCTTCCTTCTCTCTTTCCCACCTGTCTTATTCACCAGTTTCCCAAATGTGATCTTGCTTTGTCCTCCAGTCTTGCTCATTAATCTCTTCCTCTTCTTCTATTTCTCTATTTTCCCCCCACAATCCCTTATAAATTTGCTGCTCTAAGGGTAAACTCGCTATGTTGAGGGCTTATTTACTCTACAATTCTCTGGTTTTAGGTTTTGTTATATAACCACAAATATAATTCATACAGTTAAAGGTGCCAAGTTAAGTTTGTCATTTCTAGGTTATATTTGATGCTATTGTTATTGCTGATTGCATTACTTTAGCCAAGGTGACATGGTTGCTGTAATTAGTTGTTTTCCCTGGTATGCTGTCTGCCTGCTCAGGGGCCCAAGGGAGACTTTCTAGGGTGAGACCCAAGGTTAAAGAGTGCACGTGTGCAAGACATCGGCAGCCACAGCAGGCAGCGTGGAGCAGAGCAGAGAGTGAGAGCCGCCTGTGTCTTTACTGTATCATTCCTATACAGGTTGTTATCTCGTATTTACACTCTTACACAGCGCTGTAACCAGCGCATGCGTGTTTACCCGTGCTGAGTCTTGGTTACAGAACTGTATCCCACTGTGCACCTGTGCTAGACAAGCAGGGTCACGCCCTCAGGTGTCCTTAGATGCCCCTGAGCTTTACAGAAGTCCCCAAATATGCCAAGACTATCAGAGTCATAAACAACACTACAGGCCACTGCCAAAGAACCAGGGGCTAGGCCAAACAGGCAGCAACTTCTCATCCCCAATAAGCTGAAGTGGTAGGATCTTGCAACAGAATGAAAACCCAAAATCCAGCTACTGCTGGAAGACATCTCTGAGAAGTAGTCATTTCCTAAGGGTTCTTGATACTAGCAATAAAGCCACCTGCCATAAGCAATTTACAAGAATCAACCTTGGAATTAAACTAAAAAAAAAACAGAAAATGAGAAGACACTTAGGTAAGATGCCATCCCAGACATCTAGGTCACGAAAGACAAACCTAAGTGGTAATGAGGTAGAACAATCTGAAACCCACCTGCCTGGACTCTCTGAAGTGACAACAGCTGAAGGAAAAAAACAGATGAATGGGGCTCTAGGAAAAAATAAAATCAGAAGTAACTTCTCAGGTTAACTACAGACAGTGGCCATAATGAGACATGGTTAGGGATTCTAGAGCAGACACAGATGAAAAAAAAACAGTGGAGCTTTGGAAGATGATGCAAAACATGAACACCCAACACAGGAAAGAAATGGAAGCCCCCCAACAGATTCAAACAGACATCCAGGACATTAAAGATCCCACTGAAGACATATACAGCAGAAGGTGCCCAAGTGAGGGCACAGCCCGGGCTCTGCTCCACGCTGCCTGCTGTGGCTGCTGATGTCTTGCACACATGCACTCTTCAATCTTGGGTCTCACCCTAGAAAGTCTCCCTTGGGCCCCCTGAGCAAGCCAACGGCATACCAGGAAAAACAGCTAATTAGAGCAACCATGTCACCTTGGCTAAAGTAATACAATCAGAATTTCAGATACAGAAGACAGAACTGCAGTTAGTGATGATGAAAAGATTTCCTAATAGTAACAAGGGACCTGGAAAAATCAATCCAGCAGCTACTAGATGAGGCAAAGAACAATAACATAACATTGATCTGAGTCAATGAAAAGCAGGAGATAGACCAAATGGCATAAAAACCTGTTCACAGATATCAGGGCAGAAAACTTCTCTGGCAAGGAAAAACAATTTGACATATAGGAAAGTGAGGCATATAGAACTCCAATTAGCCATCATAAAAAAAAATCTACACCAAGGCATGTGACAGTCAAGATTTCAGAAATTCAACGTAAGAACAGAATATTAAAAGCTGTTAAGAGAAAAGAAACAAATCACCTATAAAGGAAAACCCATCTGAATCACAGCAGACTTCTCAACACAAACCCTATAGTCACTGGGCACAGGGCACACGCCTGCAATCCCAGCACTCAGAAGGCTGAGGCAGGAGGATCTTTGTGAGTTGAGACCAGCCTGGGCTACAAAGTAAGCTCAAGGCCAGCCTGAACTGCACAGTAAAACTCTGTCTCAAAAAAAAGACAAAAAACAACCCTATAGTCAAGAAGAGCTTGGAGTGAAGTACTGCAAGCCCTAAAAAAGAAAAAATCTCCAACACAAATTGATGTATCCCACAGAACTATCTCTCAAAATTGATGAAGAAATACTTCCACAACATAGAACATCTGAAGAAATTCATGAACGTCAAAACAGCACTCTAAAATGTTCTGAAGAACATTATAGAAAGAAATTAAAAAAGACTACAATTCCATAAATCGGAACACCTCAATGAATCTACCTCAATGAATCTACCAGGCAAGGCAAACAATTAGAAGGGGAAAAAGGGAGAACCAACAACAGGAAAATAACATGACAAGGGTAAGTCAATACATATCAGTTACAGCCATGATTTTTTTTTTTTTTTTAAGACCAGGTCTCACTATGTAGTTCAGGCAGGCCTTGAGCTCACTTTGTAGCCCAGGCTGGTCCCGAACTTGTAAAGATCCTCCTGCCTCAGCCTCCTGAGTGCTGGGATTACTGGTGTGTGCTACCACACACAGCTTCAGCCATCATTAATGGTCTCAATTTACCAATCAAAAGACACAGACTGGCAGAATGGAGCAAGAAGCAAGATACAACAATATGCTGCATACAAAAAGAAATTCACAGTCTGAAAGTCAAAGGATGGAAAACAATAGTCCATGAGACAGAAACCCGGAAAAAGGCAGGGGCAGCAAATTTACAGACAAAATGGATTTCAAGCCAAGACTGATTAAGAGAGACAAAGAAGGTGACTACATCCTTGTAAAGGAAACAACCCAAGAGGAAGAGATAACAATCATAAGTATATATGCAACAAATACCAGTGTACCCAGCTATATAAAACAAATATTAACTGACAGAAAAATATCCAATAAGCACTAACACAATTGTAATGAGGGACTAAATACCCGACTGTCACAAATATATCAACCAGAAAAAAAAAAAAAAAAAATCAACAAAGAAATATCAAAACTGGGTCAAACTTTTGAACAAACAGACTTTTGCAGAT